TTACCCAGACTTCTACAAAAAGTTGTACAATCTGCTCGAGCCTTCTGTTTTCCATGTGAAGTACAGAGCACGCTTTTTCCACCTTGCAAACATCTTCCTTAGCTCCAGGTAAGATCATTCATGCTGCCCTAAAATGTTTCTTTCACTCTCATTTTATCCAGTCATAGTTGTCTTCATCCAACCACATCTTGGATAGGCTTTAGGTCGGGAGTCAGGTCCAGCCACCATGATGCTTTCTGCTACCTTTTTTTCATTACTATTTCCTGTTAGCACCCCCAACTCGGGGCCGTTTGGTCTCAGGGGACCCAAAACCCATTTCTTGGGACATGTTTCTAGTGACATGATATAAATGCAAATATTAGGGCACTATGATGGCATAAATAGTCATACAAGTATGAAATTTGACAAGGAGTATCCTGACACAAAGGGGAAAGTTGCAAAATAAGATTCTGGGGCTTGCTGCCATTTTATTTCAAAATATCACACACAACATCCTCCCCAAAAACACTAGAAAAATTACTGTCCGTTTGACAAATTCTCATCAAAAATGCTTATTTTTCATCACTTTGTGTTTAATAGCACTGCGTCACGTGTATAAAGAAAACTTCCCAAGTTGATAAGGTTCAATTTGAGCCCCAGTTGACCCTTCTGTCTTGAAAATGACACTTGCTTCGGCCTAAAATGTCACTATACCTCATGGAATTTTCAGTCATTAGCCTTCCAGAGAGTCTACTTGCCAATAATGTGAACCAGGAAGTGTTGAGTTCCCCAGAATTTTATGTTAGAAATGATGAGTGCCACAAAACTAAATGGAGGTCGGAGGAAGTGATAGTGCAGGAGTAGCTGCTGGAGAGAACGTGGTTATCTGATTCATACTGGCTGTATCTGGGACACTTCAACTGTTAATAATTTGTTCATACCATTCTAGATAATGACCGTGAAACTCAAAAGGTGTATTTAAATGAATAACATACATGCTGTTCATGTGTTTGTGCTTTCCTCCAGTCACTTGCCAGTGTACCTTGTGGCTGCGTTTGCCAAACGCCTGGCCCGTCTGGCTCTCACAGCACCGCCTACAGCCCTCCTCATAGTGCTGCCCTTCATCTACAACCTGATCCGCCGTCACCCATCCTGCAGGGTCCTTGTTCACAAGCCCAGCGCAGAAGATGGTGAGTGTCAGTCACTGTCCTGTGTATGATAGGAATTTCATCAGTTTATAAGCACTGAAAATGTTTTTAGATTACCAGTCCAATTCATTAATTTTAAGGCAGCTTGTAAGAGTTAAGCTGATGAACAGTCTTCTACAATCCAAGGAAGCATTTCAGGATATATGTTGATGTTTGTTTCTCTTCATAATGACAGAGCTTTTGGAGGACCCGTATCTAATGGATGAAGAGGATCCTGCTCAGTGCCGTGCCTTAGAGAGCAGCTTGTGGGAGATTAAGGTGTGTACAGCATGTGATTGTTTTGGGTTTACAAATGAATCATCCATGACGCTGACTGCTACTGAGCTGCGACTTGTGTCGGCCAAGGTTTCAGTCACGTAGATTGGAAAACAAGATGAAGTCATGTACATGTAGGAGTGTAACTTAATAGAAGCATACTTAATCGGCAATGAAAGTTTACACTCTGTTCTTGTCCTTTTCTGCAGACACTGCAGAAACATTACCATCCAGATGTGTCCAAAGCTGCTGTGTCGATCAACACACCTCTGCCAGAACAAGAGGATGACATCAGCGAGGTGCTGGAGATAACGACATATGAGGTGATCTGCGTCCTTCATCTTCTTCTGTGGTGTTAACCCTTTAAATAGCAAATTTATCAGTGTGTAGAAACTAAATGGAAGTTAACTCCTATACTCATAGTCTTAATATGTCTCATGTTCTTATCCGCAGCTGATGGAGAGAGACCTGAAGCAGACTCAGATTAAGAGCGTCCCACTGGAGTTTGAAACTGCCACGCAGTTACTAAAAGGAGGGGGAGATGTGTTAGCACAACATTTCTGTCTGGAATAAAACAAGTCAAAACAAGAAGCTGCATTCATGGTGTGGTGTACATTTCTGGGACCAGTTCATCTGTCGTGGTGAATGATTTTCAGCTGCTTGGCCTGAACAGGAAGCGTGGACCGACTTCACCGTGAAGGCAGCGACAGCAGCAACAAGAACAGAATTGTGTTTTTATTTTTTACTCAGTGACCACTGATGTTTTTGATTTCAAATTATTGTACATCAGTAAAAACCTTTTCCAAAGCTCGTTGTCAATAAATCTGTTTCTTTTTGGCACTGTTTGCGACTGCTAAATGAAATAAGATATGAATGTATGGTTTTAATTTATATTAAATTTAGAGGCTGAACAGAGTACTGTATGGCCAAAATGGTCTGTGATGGTGATGCTGCTCTACGGTGCCTGCTTTAGATCATCTTATGAAACTTAAACAGTTGGTTTCAAGCTCATTACTACAGCAGCCATCAGCTAAAAAGCTCTGCTAAACCTGCGCTACATAAGAACCACACTTACTCAGCAGCTGAAGACACCAGTGATAAAGGAGAATCAATATTGGATTTCTGTATGTCAGATGGCCAGGAACACTTCAGCTGAAAGCCAACCTGTGTTTGTTTGATGTATCTTTTGCTAACATGGCAGCCTAACATCTAATAAAGTGAAGAGTATGTCAGGGCTGTGCTGTGGAGCTTTTCTGTTGCCACAAAAAACAAAAGTAATGCCGCTTTAAAAGGTGCTGCACAGCCACACAGGTGTTTTCGCTTGGCCAGGTTGATTGCACTTGGGTTAAAGGACTAATGTGAAGCAAGCTATCAGGCAAAGTTCAAGTTCTTTATCAAATACACAACAATAGAGAATGTGAAGATACTGTACATCACGCTGTATGAGACAGGGTGCCATCTTGTGAGGTGCGTGCACTGTTACCTCTGTTTCCCAAGTGTACTCACTAACAAAATAGTTTATAATTGGCAGGTATGTGAAAGTAAGTAGTGCAACAGGGTCTGTAATTCTGCCTTTGGTTGCTAAGTCACATGGATCTATGTTTATTGTATCCCTTGAACACGTTAGTAGGCACATGTAAGAGCATGTATTAAAAAATGAACAGCGATGCCAACTTTGTGTACTCTGTAACAGAAACAGTTGCTGGCAGTAGAAATTTTAAATGTCTAGCATGTAGGGTTTAGTGGCATCTTGCGGTGAAATTGCAGAAATGAAACTTCTCCCATGTACCATGTGTGTAGGAGAAGCACGGTGGCCGACAAGAAAATGCAAATAGTCCTATCTTGATCCAATGTTTGGTTTGTCCGTTCTGGGCTACCATAGAAACAATATGGTGGACTCCATGGAAAAGGTATAACGTTAGCATTTCTCCACTCCTGTGTTGTGTCTCAAATCACATACTGTCGTTAGTACAGTACTTCCATGTAATACTATGTGCACTATGTACTTATTGGCGTAGTGCGCGAATTTCGACAGGGTAGTGTTGTCTCAAACCAAACAGGGCCGTTGTGCACTTACCGGAAATGCAAATTAGCTAGTTGGCAAACTAGCATTAGCATTCGCGTTATCTTTTGGTACCAAATCATTACAGGCTGCTAAATTAACCCAATAAACATACTGCTGGCTTATACCCGACAACAGTATAGTGGTGCTTAGTGCAAAAAACTAATGTATTAAACTGTATTTGTACAATGTAGCGACATTCACGGTCGCACAGTCCTCGGCTGCTATTTCCAGTTTGAAAAGTGATCCCTCCCCTTCCACTACCTAGCCAAGATGGTGACCATTGAGAGCGAGAAGTGTCCATAGTTCCACACTCAACTTCTTGACCGTTTTGAGTGCACCATCCGGGAACTCAAAGTGCACTGCAATTTTTTTTTAGGTTAGATGCCTGGAATAATGTCTGTGGTAAACACAAACTTAAGAGACTTTAACATTTTGTTCTATGACATAAAATACATCAGTAAATACCTCAGTTGTGAATTTTGAAGCTTTTATGTGTCTTAAAAAAGGCGGTTGCTAACCAGTTGCTAAATAAGACTATGAAACATCATCACACCTGAAAACAGCTTTACAGCCTTGTTGTGAGGATGACGTTAAGTCTTAATATGACGTAAAATTACTTAATATAACGTAATATGAGTATGACCACAGTGTAGTTTGTTTAAAGCCTGACATTAGCTTTTTACCTAGCTAACGATTTCATTTTATTTAGACTTAAAACATGAAAGTGGTGTTCAAAATTGTGAAGATGATCTTGCTAAACAAAACCTGTAAGTATCATTAAGTTTTGTTTACCACAGAGCTTGTTTTCTGCAGTAATTCAAAATTCAATGGGAAAATCCCATTGGCCTTTGGACGAGGGATCAGGGCGATGCTAACCTCCGTTAGCACTCTAATATTAAATCTATGAAGAGGGGCCGCTAACCCGCTTCTCGATGTAGATGGCTTATCTAAGGTCAGAGAAACACAGTGAATCTCAGTTTTAGTTGACTTAAAATCAATGAAAAAAATACTAATTATATTGTATTCAATGGCTGCCAATATGTCTCTCTAAATCCTACACCTGGACCTTTATGTCTCAAGCTCCCTTCAACAATCCTATGTTAATTATGCTAAGCAAATATGTTTTTAAAAAGAAATGAACAACTAGGCAAGTTACAACAAAATGAGAATCTAAATGTAAAATAGTGCAAGTTAAAATAAGGAGTAAAATACAACATGAAAATAGGCTTTAGGAATAAAAGCGTCACTCTACAGGAAGTAGCGCAGGCTAAACTTCATGCTAACATTATGAAACATCTTCACAGCTGCCACCATGAGGCCAGCTCTCCTCATACCATGCATACAGGTGAGAGGTTAGCCTTAAATGCTCTTTTCCGTCTCCTCTTCATACCTCATCCCTTCGTTAAGTGTGCCATATGGTCCCACAGCAGGCAGCCCTGGGTACAAGACCGCCGTGAGAGAAAAATGTGAATCATAACTGACTTCTGGTTTGAAAAGAGCAAGTCATATCAGGGAGAGGCAGTTTAAGACGTGTACGTGCAGACAGGAGCATTTGAAGCCATGCGTATGTAGTGCAGTGACACACAGCATCTATGTTGGTTTGTCCTTTAAATTTTGGAGTGTTTTTTATTTTCTTTTAAGGCTTATTGAGGATTACAAGGCAGACACATGGCACCAGACTCTGCCAAAACTGGGAAGGTGAGGAGCCAGCAGCAGAGAAGATCACTGTGAGGAGGATGAGAGATGCAAACGAGCATCACTTTGATGGGTAAAGATCTTTCAAAGTTATTCATGACAGTATACATGATTTTACCCAGAAATATATCACTGTATGCATGCTGGGCATTTAAGGTTTGCAGCCTTAAGGTGACACATCATATCTGCACATAGACTTCTTAAAAGTCCTTTTTAAGGAAATTTTTAAGGAAGTTTTTCTGCAACTGCTGAAACTTCGCCACTGCAGAGAAGCTTTAGACATGTCACTATTTAGGCCTTTAAAAAATATTTAGTAGTAGGAGGCTTTTCTTTTGTTTAAAATAATGCATCCACCCCAAAACTGGAGTCCGTTTGCTCCTTTGACATCTAAAATGATCTGTTTTTTAAATTGGGTATGTGCTCAATAAGTGCAACAATTAAAAAAATGGCCAATATAAAGCTGTCTTCTCCAGAGAAAGATAAAATACTTTAAATATTATGAAATCAATCATAGTAATGGCCTGATATATTGATTAATTGGTAGAGAGCAAATCAAAAAAACCCTGTTCAGGCCTGGATAATGACGTACACACAGCACCCTCCTCTTGATAAATCTCAGAGAGAGATGCTTACCACGGCAGGTCCATATCCATAGATGGCTTGGCAGGATGGGACATTTGTGCATAAATCTACAGGACCCCTGAGCTTCGTGTGTTGTTGTTTTTGTTTTGTCTGTCTTCCTCCACTCCCCCGGCGAGGAAATAGAAGCTGTCCAAGGTGAGTCAGCAAGGAGAAGCTGTTTGAGCAGTTGGCTGAGGCTTGGAGAGAGACGGGAGGAGAGGGAGCTGATTAATCTTGTAGTTTCTTTTTGCTTTCGATCACCTCTGAGAAAAAACAAACACAAATCACTTGTATTTTTTTGTCTTTGTCTATTAGTTATTGACACTTTGTTGTTGATAGCATCCAAAATAACACTTTGAGTATCACATCATTTTTCTAATGTGATCTTGTTCTGTAGTTTTTCTTTATTACAAAAGAAATTCAGTATTTTAAAAGATGGAACACAGATGACTGAAATCAGCTGGTTGAGTATTATGATTCAGCAGTGGAGTCAGATAAGTCAAATCTCCTGAGGTACAAGCGGCATTAACCTTCTTAACCTCGCATGTGTCTCTGTATAGTAGTTAGTATGAATACGGTATTCCTGTGTGTGTGTGTGTGTGTGTGTGTGTGTGTGTGTGTGTAAAGGTACCAAACAGGACAGCATAGATGGGGATTTAGCACTGACTGATAAAATCTGATGTGTTTTCCGCGCTCCCCCGTTATTGTGTTGCTGTGATACAGTAATCTTCTCTTATGTAACTAAGTGGAGCTCTCCCTCTCTCTCTCTCTGCTGAACACACACACACACACACACACACACACACACACACACGGACACACACACATGTACATATCAATCATATCACTTAGCATTTACAAATACAAGTAGATGCACTGATGAAGGGGATTGATTGTACACTAACAGTGGCAAACTAGTTATGTGATTTTAATGAAAGAAGATGAAGGAAGTTTAAAGTAAGTGCCAAGAAACTCTTTGCTAGATTCAGTATGCCATGTATTTTCTATGTGTTTATGTTGTTCTTATGCAGTTGCACAGTTGTTTTTGCTGTATTAAAATTTCTTTTGTTTCAGGTCAGCTTAGCGTGGGAGAAATTTGTAGTGATAATGTAAAATAAAACATCCAAGTCTTACTGAAAAAATGTTCTCAACACAACTTTGCCTTTGTGACCACTGAAATTACGGTGATTTGCAAATTAAAGGTGCAGTTTGTTGGATTTTGGGTGATATATTGGCAGAAATTGAATATAATTTAATAAGAGCACTTTCTTTATTGTATAATACACTAAAAACTACGAATTGTTGTGTTTTCATTACCTTAGAATGAGCTGTTTCTGTCTACATAAGGAGCAGGTCCTCGTTCACATGGTGCTTCTCACAGTCAAGTATGCTTCCCGTCCAAGTTGGGTCCTACTGAGGCAAGACTCCTTCCTAGCATCAGTGAAAACACACTGGAGCAGGCTAGCCATGTGTGCATCACTGAAGAGGCCCTGCCTTCAACTCAAACTCAACTCAGTGCAAATTGTGCACAAAAAATTGTGGGTAATTCATGCACACATGCATCCTTGACCTTGACAATTCTTTGAAGGAAGGGTTGACACGCGGTGCACACTGGTGCGTTCCAAAAGTTGAACTCTGTTTATCTCGGGGCGCACCATGAAAAATAGGTGCCTGGGAATGCGTGTGCGCCGCAACATCATCACTGTGGCGTTGCTCTGTGTTGGAGTGTGCCTGCCGCACTTTTACATTGAAAACAATGAATTTGAGGGCACAAAAAACGCGGCATATGTATGGCCCCCAAGGATCCTTCCATGACTTTGAGAAGCACCAACAGAGTCTATTATGTTGCGCCACCTTGTTTCTACGGTAGCCTACAAAAAGACAAACCAAACAATGGCTTGAGATAGGGCCATTCGCATTTTGACACAGGCCAATGTTGTTAGCAGCACCTCCGCAACGAGCCAAACCGTGTCAGGAAAACACTGATTTACAACATGAAACTGCTTTATTCAGTGTTTTTGCCAGTTTTAATCACACTATCCATTTGTTTTGGAGAGGAAGAGGCCTCACCATGAGATGCCACTAAATCCTACACACTCCTCCTTTAAGGCTTTTCTTGCTTGATGGATTATCATATATTGGTTTTGGTGCCAGCCCTCCAAAATTAAAGTGCACAAGATAGTCACGATAGAAGAGAAAATTAGGTTAAAAAATTTTTAGATACAAAGTAGTAGTAGTAAATGTTCAGTAGTTTTGCAGAGGTGACATTTATTGGAGTTTAAGTATAAATCTCCACTAGAGGCACTCAAAAAAGGCATTTGGTTACCTGTCAAAATGCAGATGTACTCGATATGAATTCTAAGTGTGGTGTGTGCATGTTTTCCTGTGGGTACATCTGCTTACAGTACTTTTATTGTGTACACATTCAGTGTTATGTTTTTGTTTTGCTTGTGTGTCTGTTTCAGTAAGTGTGAGGAGAGTGTGAGGTTTGCAGTGTGGCTTCAGCATGTGTAATCTCTGCTTGTGTGGGTTTTGCAGGTGATAATGCGGGATCACACGTCCGGTGCTAACGTGGAGGAGCTGCTGAGGCAGTCGCAGATGGAGTTACAGTGGATCCAGAGACAGCTGGCCATGATCGCTGCCAGAAACATACACCATCACCACCTGCACACCAAGGCCAAGGTACTGTGGTACAGCATACTGTAGGCCTGTGTTACTACTGCTGTCATTTCTATAAACAGAGATCTGCATATGTATTGACAAACCCAGAGCTGATGGGTCTGACAATACATGTGCATACATAGCATAGCAATATACTATTGCTACCACATAAAACTGCTGTGATAAAACTTCATGAGAAGAAACTTGCCCTCGAATACTAATCTTGTCTGCAAGCCATGATAAAAGTATCCTGTTACTAACATAGAGCAGACCTCAGCTCTCATTAGAGGTGGGAATCTGGGGAAAAAACACCATATTTATGGACTGTCCTTAGAAAAAAAGGAACATCTGCTCAACCTAATCAACCGATCTTCATTACACGTCATTATGACTTAACGTTAGATAATGATTTTTATGTTGATGGAGTTGCTGTTGCAGTTTGTCAGCCACCTTCTCCAATACACTTTTTACAACACCAAAATAGGCCTATGCAATGGCAGTAATTTGTAAGGACTACTGAAGGGGTCTATCGAGCACAGGCCAAGGGGCCAAAAGTGTAAGAGGGTCCCCCTGGCCTTCGCCTGCATAATATCACTCAAATTAACACATAATGACCAGGAAGAGATTCAAATGAGCGCAAAGAGATGCAAAGGAAGTGTAAAAAGGCACAAAATAGCTACAAAAGGGGTAAAACTACCACAAAGAGACACAAAATGATATGAAGAGACACAGAACAAGCAAAAAAAGACACAAAATTACCTCAAAGAGACACATAACATCTACAAAACACAAAACCCCCAAAAGATGCATTATGATTATAATGAGATGCAAAACAACAAAACAAAAAGAGGCTAATCAACCATAAAGTACCTTTTTATTTGACAGCTTAAACTTTGACCAAATATTTAGCCCTGCATATGTAGTAAAATGTTCAAATTCCCACTTAACAGCCACTTAATTGCAATAATTACCAGTTAAAATTTAACACCGGAGCTCCCCAGGGCTTCGTTTTGAGCCCCCTGCTGTACTCCCTGTACACATTAGTCATCAGGTTTGCTGACAGCTGTAGTGGGCCTGATCACAGATAACAACAAAAAGGCCTACCAGAAGTGAGCAGAGGACGTGACCTCCTGGTGTCAGGACAACACCTTACTAAGATTGTCCCCACCTAACCCTGATCTGAAAATAGATCAAGCAGAGTACACATGCAGAAAAATAATTTTTCCAAACCATGCTATGACAAATCCAACAAAATCATGATGTGATCTCAACATCTATTTTTGTTCTCCAGCACAATCGCTATTGTTATTGTCAAATTTTATTTAATCTCATTCCAGCTCCTCCGTGTCTTAACATTTATGAAGTCGAGAGTTTTGTGTTTTTGACCACAAATCTGTTGTTTTCAATCATCTTTCACCTCATCTGACCCTGACAAACACACACCTGTCTGCTGTGTTGTTTTTAAATCTTTCTATACTACAAAGTTCTGGGAGCTTTGATGGCAACTGGCGTTTTCTGAGTCAGATTCACTGCCCAGCATGATAGATTGTGATGGGCGTACTATTATCGACTGTTTATGGGGATAAAAACACAAAAACAGAAGCACTGCTATGGCACAAGGAGAACACTCAGTCTTTGAAGTAAAATATGTTTTTTATGTTGGTTAATTCTTTATTTTGTAATATACACGCATTCAACAACACATCCCCATTTTGTTTTTCTGTTGCAAAATCTAGTTTGTTAGCTTCCTGGAAAACAAGTGACATGACATGAGTCATCATGTGTCACCAGGTGTTAATAAACCAATAACACCTTCCCATGTGTTTTTTTGCCATGACTTTTATCCCATATGGCCAGGAGAGGACAGCATACTTCTGAAAACACATTTCAGTGTTAAAATCCACCAAGTTGAAAAAAGAAGTCATGACACGCTCCAAAGGTTGCAGCTTGTTTAAGTAATGAAATGACACATTGCCTTCAGCTATTTGCATATTTAAAGGGGTCACTGCATATTTCTGCCTAATCCAGTTTCCATCTGTTCCTGAACCCTGGTCTCACAGGGCTCCATGTCATGCCCGAAAACCTATTCGCTATGAGAGAATGCATCTACAGTAAGGACGGGAACAGACAGTGAGCAAGTGTTGCTAGGCAACAGAGTGGAACAGAGCGTACATTCTGCTTTCTCTTCTCACTCACACACACTTAGTGTCTCTTTCTGTCTGTCCTCTCCTCTGTCCTGTGCCTCCGTCCCAGTGTTAAACGTCTATCGACAGAATACATTGAGTGACTCCTGCTGACGCAGCCTTACTGAAACCGCTGCACTGATTCAATTTGAGTCCTCTGATCAGGGATTAGGAGGAGGTGAAGAGATGCAAAGGGGTGGCTTTATCTGAGCTCTGTCCATGAACATGACAGTGAAGATCTGATTAGATGCTAAAGGAAAGTTTTTATAGTAATACTAAGCAAATACTGAGGAGGAGACAGGGATGCTGGACCATGATCTGCTCTGCTCATCTATGATGTAATGGTTTACACATCACTTTGCAACAGATTTGCACAGTCCATTTAAATGAAAGCTACCCCGCATGTCTTTTTTTTGCATGTGTGACGTTTGTTTTCGGTCAGTCGAACGGGGCGTGCACATGTCTGTGTGTGAGCGAGACAGAGAGCAAAAAAGAGGGGAGGGGGTATTTTTAAATCGCGGCTGGAGGATGGAGCAGGAAGCGCGAGAGGAAGCGTTAACACATTCAGGGGTGGGACTCAGGGAGTGTCTGTGTGTCTGACAGTACCAAGCTACCGTAGCTTTTATTTGTGTAAGGTTTCCTGCCTGTTACAGTGGCACACAGACCAGGCAGACCAGACACACAGGCACTCATGTACCGGCATACACGTGCATACGCACGGACGCTTCACCTCCGCCTTCACTGCCAGCTTGTGATGTGACGGAAAGGGAAGAGAGTCATTCTGGGACAAAGGGGGTACTGCCTTTAAGGTAGGGACATTGTCACTATCTGTATCAGCAAAAACATACATGTCTGTACACATTACTGTCCCGGTCCCCCTTTTTTTAGACTGTGTGATACTTGATTTGATGCTGCTGTGATTCTCGGAGATTTAATACATTCTGGGAAACACAAGATAAGATATATTTCCTTCATGAGGAGCAGCGACTAAGTGTTTGCAGATGATAGTGAATTATTTCTCTCCTGAGTAGTTGACTCTAGATTTACAACATTTCGTCTACATCCCACTCCAAGTGAAACACATTCATGACAAGGCTTATGCCGAGCAGGAGTAGCCTGATAGGCTTGAAAAGACTGATTTTCTCTTTCCGAAAATATGTTTAATGGCAGGGCAACAGCTGTACATCCACGGCTGACTGCATCAGGCAGCTCTAATGCAAGTATTCTGCTCACACACCAGATGGCGATGTAGCAATCTATTTAAATCACTCCTAGTCAAAATAAGATTACCTTGGGGTATCCTGGTGGGTCGGTTGGCAGAGCACATGCCACTTAACCACAATGCCCTTGGTTCGAAGCCAGCCACCACTTGCTGCTCTCCTAATCCATTCTGCTGTGTCCCCCCACCATAAGTCATCCAACAAAGCAGAAATGCAACAAAAATCTTAAGAAATGACTGTTTTATTAAGTGAACCATTGGATGAATACACACGTAGCATCTCTAGGTGTCATGTTGAATTAAAATCTGTAGCTGTTACTTCCTGAAAATGTGGAGGAAAGCCTAACAGTGCACGGTGTAAAGTACTAAAAAGCCCCTATTACATAATTATATGCTGTAACATCTTAATAGCTACCCACATCATCTGCTTTGCTTAATAAACAGTTACCTCAGCCTCCAGTTTTTCATCAGTTTTAAATGGATAATCCATTAACAGTGTATACCAGTCACTGGCGTTGTCAACAGTGTCGTGCAGGTCAGACAGTTCACAGAAATTAAGTTCCTCGTTATTTTTCCTGCTACCGAGAAATATGTTTGTACAGATGCTGCTTTTAGAGGAATAAATGATGTGGTGTAGAAAATTGTTTTGTAGTATTTTAGCAGTTGTTTTTTCAGGAATGTGTCCATGAACCTCTAAGTGAATTGTGACTTGCAAAGTGTTCTGCCCCTGTGTACTTAAAGTCAGAGTTGAACCTACTTTTGACCTCAGGTCACTGAAACCAACAGTGACACAAATGATCAACCCAGCAAACTTAAACAAGGTGAAGAGCACTAAATAGGTCATTAAATGTTACAAGGAACAGACATCACCTTCACCAGTACACTCTGAACATGAATGGTGATGAACAGTATCCAAAAGCAGTTCTTAAGCTCATGATCACAGAGCAGAGGGAGGCAACCTGCAGCTCGCCCCTCTCCAATGGCTCCCTGTGGATTCGACCAAAAATTAGGCTACATGGAAATGAATCACGGTTATTTTTGGACATTTTAATTTTCATTTATCATTGTTGTGGGTATAAAGTGATTCTTAGATTTAGATTTATCTCATTTATAAGGACAACGCACATTAATCAACATCTATGTAAATGTGCCAGTGTCAGCCAGCTGGCTAATTTTCAACTGTAGTCCATTGGCAAGATGTTTGGAAACCAATAAAAGGATAAAATTCACAGGACAAAGATGGCATAAAGACATAAAGACAGCATTAACTATAGCAATTAGAAACTGTGGAGGTAGAACAGATGCCATGCAAAGCAACAAGCAACAGCAGAGCACCAGTACATTACAGTAACACAGCAACAACAACAAACAGCATGTTAACTCAAACAGACATGCAAGCAACATGAAACACCAACACACAGATGAGCATTACATTCAGACACGCAGAGCAGCAATAGAAAGTAAACATAGCTAAAACAGAATAGTCATTATGTATGATCAAATGCACCAACACACAAGCCATGCGACAGAAGGTTAGCTATGCTGTTAATAAAATAGATATTGCATACATACCAATGCAGAGTTGGCTGCCTGGCAACGGGCAGGGACATAAAGCAAGT